AGGATGAAGGGAGGTGAATGACCCTGCCATGTGATATAGCGTTAGGCTACCACTGACCTTCAGACAATATGTCAGAAGGAGCATCATCTGCTTCCAGATGAACCACTCATGGTTCATCGGTAATTTAGACCACGGAAAAGCAAAACTACAGGTAAGTGGGAATAATATATGATATGTAGAGTATAAATTAGGAATTTTCTTGATTATTTTTTCAGTTGAACATACCCTTGGTATTCACAATGGCTACAACTGTAAAAATTGCCAAATTTGTGAACATGGCTCTTGCTCATTTCTTTTTTCCCATAGTATGCATATGTAGCAAATGCAAAAAACAGCCCAGATGAGGATGATGTGGTTGACTAGGCTCATTCACAAAAAAACACTATTGTCTTGGAGGGTGGAAATGTCTTAGAAACAGTGCAAATCTCCCACATATCAAACATCTTCAGGTCATCTCAAAAAACATAAACCTTTGAATGTAAAACTAAAAAATGTAAGTGGTCTGTTTAACTTCAGAAAAAAAGTATGTTTGCAATATTGTAATATTATAATAGATTTGCATATGGTATAATATTGTACATTTTTTAATGAAATCTATTTTAAGTACGAAGAAATTCAACCTGAGTGCCTGGAAAAACATATTGTCAGCCAGACTCTTTTAATTTGGTAGAAGACATTATATAAAACAACCTGTCATGTTGTTAGATCAAATTTGATTATTTTAAATTGGATTTATATCTTCATGTTATTTATTAATGACTTTTTCCTTCATCACATTACTTGTTCACTGATGTTTTTATTTAACTTAATATTAGTTTTCTTAAAAGTTTACATTTTTGCATTTCTGCTAAGAAAGTTGATAGCAACAAATAGCAAATTCCATAATTATTTTTATCAGAGGAATTTCTTTTCTTATTGGTATTATCCATTTTTATTCAAATTAAGTTTCAGTAAGACTAGGTTCCCATAACATTAACTGACATCCTATTAATTCCTATATAACATACTCACTATCAGAGGAATTTCTTAATCCAAACCTTGATACATGAAGAATCCTTATTTCCATTGTGGAAAAGAATATAGGCTACATATTTACGATTATCTTAGAGATGTTTTAGGCTCAGGTACCTCTACGTCATCACACCTAATATAAACAACCAACTTGTATCATAAAATACTGTGATCAAAATCAAGTACTATGAGAACAGAGAACAATGTTATAAAACATCATCTATATTCTCTTAAGATTTTACTAAGTAGGTTTTTTTTTTCTTTATTATTCCTTATATATGTGACATCTCAGGAATCTAAAGAATCAAAGCAGTGGTGTACTCTGCTCGCACTGATAATCGGGGTTGTGTGTAGTGAAGGATTCCTCTGCTCTTTGCTCCTGGTATCTACAGAGTACTCAATCTCTTAACCTTTGGACTATTCCAAGCAATAGGAATGTCCTTGATATTCATGATGGACTCCTTAAACCACACCTGAGTTTATGGTAACTATGTGATCATGTTTATAATAACTCACGGTGGTAGCTGTGGGAAGGACAGCCATGTACTTAGAGGCTTGGGGTTTTGAGCCAGATGGTATCAGCCTGACCTCCCAACCCGTGGGAGGGGAAGGAGCTGAAGACTGAGTTAACCTTGTAGCCAGTGATTTAATTAATCATGCCTACATCATGAAAACCCAGTTAAAACTCTGGACAGCAAAGCTCAGGCAAGCTTCTTGGTTGGTGATACATATGTCCCTGGAAAGTGACAAGTCCTGATGACATGGAAGCGTCATGTTCGACATCCTCCCAGATGGTGCTCTATGAGTCACCTCATTTGGCTGTTCCCAATCTGATTACTTTATAATACGCTGTACTCATAAGCATATTGCCTTCTCGTGTTCTGTGAGTTATAGTAGAGAATTATTCAATCTAGGATAATACCCAAATTGTTAACCAGTCAGTCAAAGCATGGGTGGCCTAGGGACATTGAGCTTGGGACTGGCATTGGGAGTTGGAAAACCATGCCTTCAAGCCACGAAGTGTGCGCTAACTCATGTTGATCATGGTCAGAATTACATTGTACTAGTATTTATGTCAAATACTTTTTTTTTAAAGATTTTATTTTTATTTATTTATTTGAGAGAGAGAGAATGAGAGATAGAGAGCACGAGAGGGAAGAGGGTCAGAGGGAGAAGCAGACTCCTGTGGAGCGGGGAGCCCGATGCGGGACTCGATCCTGGGACTCCAGGATCATGACCTGAGCCGAAGGCAGTTGCCCAACTAACTGAGCCACCCAAGAGCCCTATGTCAAATATTTTTTAAAAGATGGGGATAAAGGAGGGCACTTGTGATGAGCCCTGGGTGTTGCATGGAACTCATGAATCACTAAACTGTACACCCTAAACTAATACTACACTGTATGTTAACTAACTGAAACTTAAACAAAAACTTAAAAAAATTAAAAATATAGCTAAGATCTATATATTTAACTAGACATTGTTTACTATTATAAGTGAACCCAGTTTTGACTTAGAAATGCATCTTCCTTCTACAGTTTCAATACTACTGATTGACTTAATAAATTTAAATTTGTACCCATGAAATAACAGGAAAAAAAAAAAAGATCTTTTCTCCGGGCTAATTCCAAAAACTCAAGAAAGAGAGGATTGCTGTCATTATTTTTCATCACATATGTAGGCAATGTGCTTCCTTCTTTTATTATTATTATTTATATTATTTTTTATGTCATTCCTGCTAACCTTGTTCAATCAATCATGCAACTGTCTCCTGTGTGCGGTCTCTGGCTCTTTGTATATTTGTGTGTAAAAGTGTTCAGTAACACCCTTGTGCCTGAGAAAGTCAGGTGGGAAAATCAATTCAATATTACACCCTTCTCTTTTAAAAGTCAGCCTATTCCTAATATTAACTGAGAAATATAAAATCACATATCTGAAGCTAAGTTGACATCAAGTCGTTATTCAAGAGAAGGTTTAATACAGAATGATATATGTTAATTGATAAATAAAAATGTCTGAACAGTGAAATCTGAACTTCAGATAAAAAATGGCAAAGCACATACTTTGCAAGCAAGTTTTATTTAATAAAAGCATAAGGAAAAGAAAATATATTTATGGTTGTGTACTCTATTTACTGAAAAAAATCCAGGTATAAGTGGATCTGTGTGGTTCAAACCCACGTTCTTCAAGGATCATCTGTGTAAAAGACACAGGCTCTGAACCACATGGTTCCGTTGCCTGGAGCCTTTCTTCTCCCTTTGATTTATCTGCCTATATTTTACTAATCTGCTAAGATAATTTACTTTTTCCCAGATATGTTATAATATCAGTTAGGATATATATATATATATATATAATTTTCTACCAAATCCTAGAAAAACACTACTTTTGACCTCTTTTAATACCCAACACCTACCTGGAGTGCTGCATATTTGCCAAAAGTTATAGACATTATTAGTTCACATTAGCATTATTTTTATAAATTATTAAAATATATTTTATTATAACTATTACTGTGTTTTACCATCTGCATACAGATTCCAAATCGTGTTGAAGCTGTTGCTATCTTTAGTGTCAGAGACTTTCTTTTTTATTCCTAAGAACAAATAAAGTACTTGATATAGAGAGTAGGTACTTAAAGCAATCATACACTAAGCTGAACTACGACAAGCGCTATCAGGTGCGGGGAGTCAGCGAGTGTTCACGGTGGGGAAGGCGTTTGAGATTAAGCCTGCGGGACTGGAAGGGGCAGTGGGAGATAAAAGTCTCAAAAGATAAATCATACCAAGACAGACAAACATCAGATGGCATGTAAGAAACTGTACATTAGACTGGCGTTTTATCGCACAAACTTTAAATGGCCTTGTAAAAAAGGTGTTCTTCTTTGCTGATATCCAGAGACAAGACTTCTGGAGTCATTTAAGAGGAGCATGGTGAAGTCAAAGCCGCGGGCGCTGGGAAGGGCCACCCCGCCATCCAGCCTGTGTTTCTAACCAGCTGAGCAGCAGAAGAGAGACGTGAAGAGATGCAGCGTAGAGAAGAAGCAGGCTGGCACGACAAAAGGAGTGATGTGTGCGGTGGGGGATACTCCTAGAAAGCTGTTATGTTTCCATGCTATCCTGGACGATTCTGAAGTGTGCCCGTCTCTGTCTGTCACTTGGAACACGAGGGTAGTAGTAGCACGGAGGGCAGAGTGCCGTGTGTGGGACTCAGCTAGCCCAGCCCCCCGTGCACAGCAACACCTACTGATGGGGACGTTGGTGAAGGGGATGACGGTGATGCTGACTACCGTCCATGGGTCGGGAATTCGGATGTGCTCCTGCCATACAGAGTGGAAGAGGCAGGCTAACCTGCCGCAGGACGAAAGAAAGGAAGACAGAGCTGAGTCGCACTGCTTCTGGCGAAGGCGAGGACACAGCTCTAAGGCCAGTGCAGAAGCAATGTCTGCAGAAGTTGCAGGTGGAAGGAAGAGCAAGAAAGGGCTCTTTTCCACCGACTATGGTTCATATCTGGAGGCTCATGAGTGAGGTGGCATCTGCTGTAAAGGGTCGGGGTTTCCTGCAACGCTGATGGAGCAAAGCACTGCAAGCCTCAGGCCTAAATGCCCCAAAATGCAGAGTGCCATTTTCCTGGGTTGACTAATCTTAGGATGTCTCTTCTCAGGAGCTGAGAACCATGACCTACTCTCTGCTTCACCCCCACCTCCCGTCTCCTGCTGGGTCCCTTGTCCCTGGCTTCAGCCTGTCACCTGCAAATGCAGTGTTACCTGTTCCTCCCCTAGCAGCCCTCCCCTCCCTGCAAACAGAGCTGTCTCCTGGCTCTCCTGTTTTGTGATGCACTTGCTTTAAGACTTTCAACACTAGCCAAGCTATCACCGATATACAGTTTGGTAGGAAAATGTCTACATCAAACGTTTTGTTGCTGTTGTTTGTTTGCTAGTGTTTGATGATTCTGGTTCACAAACAGAGACTAGGGAGCTGGTTTCATCTTACCTGAGAAACTTCCCAGCCTGGGTGCGGTCATGTCACCGCCGTCGTAAATCTCCAGAGAGTCCCAGTTCTGCTCAGTGGCAAAACTGATCACTTGAATCTAGCAAACGACAGTGTTCAGTTAATGTGTGTTTTCGTTTAAGGAAATTAACCTGATCATGTGGGGTTTCCCATGAAACCTAATATACACACATAAGAGAAGGGTGAAACCAAGGAGAATAAACCATGAAAAGACATTTGAAAATGTCTACAAATGGTATTTTTGACAGCTTTTATCCTAAAAATCTACTATTGCTATTCCAAATAGAGAAATGTGATTAGAAACACGTTGCAGAAGTAGTAAGAGAAGGGAAACAGGCCATGGTTTAAGTATCTAAAATAACCAATGCAAGTAAATAAATAAATAACCAATTCAAAATAAAAAATAAACCAATGCAAAAAAAAAGATTAAATAACCAATGCAGAAATAAAATAAAAATAAAATAAAATAAAATAAAATAATGCAAAACAGAAAACAAACACAGAAAGTAAAGACAGACCTAGCCAAACCCTATGCATTGGGACGTTCGGGGCATAAGGGGCTTACCTGAATTCCTGATCCCTCTGTAACTATGATTTTCCAGATACAGTTTAAGTTGTTACCATATGGTTCCGGGTAGCCAGGGGATAAAATTGTACCTCTGCGCTGAGTGAAATTACCACTGCAGGGGACTAAAAGACAAAACCGTGTGTCATAAACATAAAGTACAGAGAAGGACAGCATTAATTTGGTGCTTAGCGGTTCTTTGCTGTGTGATCAGATATTAAGAGACATTTTACACGGAGTATGGTCCTTTAAATGGCACTTGTAACCAGGGTCAAATTTAGTCTGTTCTCTTATAAACTCGCAATATCATTGATTGTTATCTACTGTACTACCAAGTTACAGATCTGGTGTCTAAAAGTAAATCTCTTCAAGCTCTGTAAGGAGGGACGCGGTACCTAACAGTGGCATCTCTAAAGTGAATTCTGTTTAGAATAATTTTATCAGTACGATTTAAGGAGCTTTGCAGAGTACTGTCTCCTATATGCAGACATGCAATTCCAAAGGATATTAATGGGATTTATGATCAAATCCAGGAAGGAGAAGAGACGCTGAAAGTGTGCAAATGAATTCAAGAGCTAATCATGATTGCACTAGAGGTTCTTACACCAAATGAAGCAAATAAACTATAACTAAGAGCATCATTGTTATTCGGATGCATTAATCTATTACTTTCAAACCTTCATCAGCACACGTGTATTAAAAAAGGACATTACACAATATAGCAAATCAATATTATAATGATTCTTCCCCAAAATGAAATTATGTTATATACCCATGGCTGGAGAGTTAATGGCATACTTAATAAGTATTGAGAAAGAAAACATGTTTCATACTTGTTAATCTAATGAGTTGTTTCATGAAACACAGTAATCTTAAGGGTTTAGCTGCTACTCAGTTATGTCAGGTAAAATGCACTGCTCTTTAAATAGGTCTGGAGCATGAGCAGGTGGTGGAGACTGGACATCAGCATTGGAAAGCAGCTCTTCGACCAGCTGTGAAGCTGGGCTTGACAGCCCTGCGCAAGGTGTCCCACCTTCTGGACACACCCTTACCTATGCAGCTTGGGATCGTGTCATTCCACTGAGCTAAAGCATTTGGTACAGACTGACAGCGGATAGCAGTGGAACCCTGAAGGAGGTATCCTGGGTTACACTCGAAACGGACAATCGAGCCGGCCGAAAACTCCGATCCGATTCTTCTTCCATATCTGGGCTCAGGGATAGAGCTGCACTGGGTGTCGCTGGTTCGAGGAACAGCTAGAAGCAAAACACACAACACAGTCATCTGTATCTTTACTGGGAAGCTGGAATATTTCCTTGGAAAGAAAGTGGAGTCCAGAGAGAGTTTATGTTAATATAGGAATTAAGAACGCCTTCCACAATTTCTAGAGGGAATGATTTGGGGAGCACTTTCCCATCTGCATTTCATTCTCTTACCAACCCTGAGGACTGCCTTATATTCTCATTTCAGATGAGGAAAACGTGGCATAAGGAGCATTAGTGCCTTATGAGAACTGAGTGATATTCAGGCAATTAAAATTAATTAAGCACCCGAATCACTGTGCTCATGATAATGAGATGATGAAGAACTTGTACTTATCCTCAAAGACCTTAGAGTCTAGTGAGTATAATATGGCTATTGTGATGCAATAACAAAATCAAAAATAGAACTCCCATATGATCCAGCAATCTCACTTCTGGGTATATATCCACAAAATATTGAAGTCAGCATCTCAAAGAGATCTCTCTGCCCCCCATGTTCACTGCAGGATTATTCCCAGTAGGCAAGCCATGGAATCAACCTAAGCGTCCACTGATGGATGAATGGATAGAGAAAATGTGTTATATCCATGCAATGGAATATTATTTAGCCTTAAAAAAGAAAGGAATTCTGCCATTTGCAACAACATGGATGTTCCTTCTACCTCCTGATAAAAGTCAAGATGCCCCACAGCACTAGGGCTCCCCTGCCAGCAATCCAAAGCAAAATCACACTGCCTTTAAACCTGTCCCAAATCACCTAGCACAAACCTCAGTCCTATAACCAGCCCTTCCTGGAACTTTCTTTTTGAGACACCCCCAGGGTCTCCCTGGTGTGTGGTCTTCACTGAGGCAGTTGGTAAAAACTCAAGCTTGTTTGATTACAGGTGTGTTCTTATGGTCTTTGGGTGGTAGAAATGAGCAGGTGAACCCCGTTCCAGTGTGGGGTGAGGTAGCTATTTAGCTTGTTTATGGGAATTCTCCATCTGTAAGAGATTCTTCTGATTATCAAAAGGGGCAGAGATCAAGTTTGAAAAATATTTCAATTGTCGATGACTCCTGTTACACCAAACCAACTCTTTGAGAAATAGATCCACCTGGTATGCACTTGAAAATGCACTATTCTGTTTTTGTTCTGTGCAATTAAAAGTCAGTTTGTCTCTATCGTCACCAGAATCCTCTCTCTTTCAGACTGTGCATGTCCTCGTTCAATGGTGCAGCCTTCTGAGAGAATGTGCTTATATACTCATTTTCTTTAAAACAACCCTCTGTCTTCACAATGCTTTTCCTAACAGGAAATTGAACCTGAACAATGACAGACACCATTTGGGTAACTGCTGCTAAGCAAGCGATTCTATGAGCATGGAAGGCAGAAGGTGATTCTGACAAAACCATGCTTGCATTCAGTGTTGAAGTATTTTCTATCAGAAGGCGATGTTAATAAAATTATATGTTAATACCTATAGGTGAAACAATGATACATCAGAATGACTCTTTTTTATAACTAAAAATAGAATGCAGTATAACTATAATATTATATTATAATAGCAAATTGCTTAGAACTCCTATTTTTTGAATTTCTATTTCTGAGTATTTTGTTACAGTTGAACAAGTAGAATGAGAGCAAAAAGGAAATGAATAAAAAATATCCCATGGAGGCTTCAATTCTCAAGAATTATTTTTTTTACCAAAATGGAGAAAATATCTCCAATGGCAATTTTTCTACTTGTCCTGAATGACATGGAAAGCTCCCCGCTCTTCATAGCAAAGGCTCCACACTTATCTAAGTGGCCTTGTCTGTGTTTGTCTGAGGCACCATGGCCATTCCAGGGTCCCGTGGACAGGAACAAACACACCGTCAAGGTCATTCAGACACATGCCACTACCGAGACTTTCTTTGGGAACTTCACCATTGTCATTTTTTAAGGAAAAGAACAATTAAAAAAAACACCTGCATTTAGATGAAATTATGCAGTTTTTAGAGGAAGAAGTTTCCAAAGTGAGGATAAGAACAGCTGTGAGTCTCCGCAAAGTGGAACAGAGGTGAGCAGAAACTGAGACACCAGATATCCATGCAAGGTCTGGGGAAAATAGTGTGCAGCAACTTTTGCTCTCGGCATGCCCTCTGGTTCCTGCTCTTCTCCTGCATGTTTCGGGCAGCATCAGAGAGAAATTCCATCCTCTGTGGTAATTATCCTCTATCTTTTGGCAAAGATTTCCTACTGCAGTGAAACAAAATTGAAATCAGTGCAGTGGAAAGCAAACAGGGGAGGAGCTCAGCCTGGAGGAAGAGGCGGTGGGCAGATTGAGGGACGTCCCCAGGGGCCAGGGCGCTGGGCCGGTGCGCTGGGCCGGTGCAGGGGCTGGGGCTGGATTCCGAAGCTTTCAGAGCACGCACAGAAAGGGGAAACGTGGTAGATCCATCCGTGGATCTTCACGGCTCTTCATTCAGAGCAGGTGTAACAGGAAGACAACAACAACAGCCATAATATTAACAAATCTGAATGCATGCAACAATCACTTGCAAAGTCTAAGGGAGGCTGTCTTTCCTGTTTCATTTACTGACAGCGGATATTTCTATTTCTCAAAATCATTCTGTTTTGGTAGTTGAAAAATCAGATTTGACAAGCCATTACTAGTCAGTGAATTCAAACATACATCGCTGAATTATGAACAAAACTTTATGCTTATTCATCTTCGTAAAAAGTATGCATTTTATAATCTTTTTATACAAAAAGTGAATTTCTTAGAAATGGAAAACCTTATAATTTACTCTATCTAAAAGGAGATGAGGCCTGGGGAAAATCAATAAAGACATGCATTTACACGCCGAGGAAGGACCTCAAGCAAAGGAAATTTTAGTGTAAATTCTTCCTACCCAAACTTAGAAAATGCACTTCCATGTCCCTAGATTATTTATCTGTTTATTGTAATGCTAAGGAGAGTGAGTCTTGCCATAGGAGGATCCTGGACCAGGAAGCCCGGAGCTGGTGAATCTGGGGGACTGGGCCACTGGGAGGCGAGGAGGCAGGAGGCCTCTTCAGGTGAGGCTGGGGGATGAGGTTCTAGGTTAGAGTTGTCCACGCGGCAAATATGCCTCGGAAAGACAGGGATTCCGGGCCAGCAGACACTTGTAAGTTGGGCTCTGTGCAGAGGTTTGATGTAAAAACATGGCCTCCTTTTCCCCTTGAAATATTCAGTAAGTCCTACCTGGTTTACTAATTTTGGCATGAGTGACTTATTTTGTGAGAACATAGAGTTGAATTCTACATGGAAATACACAAGAAAAATGGATGATATGTGGAAACAGCCAGGCATAAATACAAGAGAGTTCAAAATAATATTCTATGGATGAGACACTGTCAACCACCAAGTTTAATTTTAGGGAGGCTCCATGTTGAGTGTAGAGCCCAGCACGGGGCTTGAACTCATGACCCTGAGATCAAGACCTGAGCTGAGATCAAGAGTTGGATGCTTAACCGACTGAGCCACCCAGGTGCTAAACACCAAGTTTAATTAGACACATTCAGTCCGGAGCAGGGAGGGGTCGGGCAGAGCAGGGAGGGGGTGGGCAGTGCAGGGGGGTTGAACCACCCTGCCATATATCAGCATGTGCCTTGGAGCAAGCAGGACAGGAGACAAGTGTCTGCTCTGCTTTAGTCGGTCTCTGAGGCCACACAGGCTGGTTCCCATGTTGCTTCCAGTATTGCTAAGGTTGATTCTAGCATTATAAGGTGTGCATTTTAGGGCCACAAAAAGTCTATAAAGGCAATGTAACTACTTCATAGAATAGCTAAAAGGGATCTTCTAATACTGGAGGAATCAGACTGTGCTCAATTTGTTAAGAAACAGTAGGTAAGTCTCCCACATGGAGAGTTTCTTAGGATGACATGAATTTTGATTTTTCTCATTGATCTAAAAACACATTGGTGTAATATATATTGTGGAATGGCAAAGATTATCCAAATGTGCAGAACCACATTTACTGATTGTGGGTCCTGCCAGTGTCTAGGCCTGGGAGCTTAGGGGGAAGACGGAAGGCGCTGGGAGAAGGAGGTGGGGAAATCTTCTCCTGGATGTCTAAAAATAAATGCAAAAAGCTATTTGAAGGTATTTGTGTTTAAAACCAAGGTGTGTTCCTCCTCTGTCTTCATGGACATCTGTTTACACAGTGGTCCAGTCTGGAGCCGAAATGTTGGAACAGTTAGAGAGACTCTCCCACTTCAGGAGCATCCCTAGATGTTCGTTCATGGTAGGTTCTCACAGCATCTTTTGCTTCTAAATTCTATTTGATGGTCACACTGCTGAGGTATGTGGCTGCTGAATCAAAGGAGGGTGCAAGTTTGCCCAAGGAGGACCGACACCTGAGCCACCTGAGACGCATTATCTCTTCTCAGTCTCTGTCCAGCGCACACTACCCTTATACAACTGGAGACCTGTGAAGTAGGCTGCTCCACCCCCGAGTAGATAATGTCCTTGAGTCTTTAATTCGATAGCATCAGGCAGCCAAACAAAACTCTTCACAGTTGCTGAGTCATCATTGATAAACCAGTGTGGAAGAGCTCTTTGTAGCATTGTGTTAGGAAGGGTACCCCCATTAGCCTTCTTTGGGGTGCTCGTGGGTCCTAACTCACTCTCTTTCAAATATGCCCTTCTGCCTCTAAGTAGTGTAGAAAGCAAATGAAAAGCAGCCAAGGCATGAGTTAATTAGGACACTTTGTAAAAAACAAACAAACAAACAAAAAAAAAACCTCTATATGTCCATTTCTCCACAAGATCAGAAAGACAGAAACACCCTCATTATTAATGTCTCCTTATTAGCCAGCACTGCATGGAGGGCAAGAGACAGTGATCCCGGCTTCCCACACCCTGATTCTGCTGTCTTGTTAGCCATAGATGTTTCCAACAGCTCTGTATAACACCACTGTCCGTTAACAGGGTCAGACACCCTATAATCACAGGCGTCAGAAAGTCCCCGTGCAATTTTAGGCTTTAATAACTTGTGAAAGAATGAAGCCATAAGTGGTATACAAAAGAAGTTTTCAGGAAGTTTTTTATACTATAGATTGCAGTAATTTCTTGGCTTCCATATAACTACCATCTTTCAGAAGCCAATGTTCAATTTAACTTTCCGTATGTATTGAAAACTTCCCCAGGTGCTCTTGAGTGATTTATAAATTGCATTCATGATTCTAGTTCTTTACTTCCAAAGGATTTAGCTTTGATAAAAAGGCATCAATTTTTGCATAAACTCACTGTAGGAACAAAGCAAGAAAAGGAAGTATACTGAGACTTTATAAAATATTGAGGATGTTAGAGTCATTATATGTTGTTAAAGACAAGGAAGATATATTCCTCCTGTAAATAATTTTCTTTTCTTTCTACTTTTCTGTTTTAATTCATTGTAATGGTAATAGGTTACTTTAAACCAAGAAACATAATTTTGAAAATCATGACTTCTGATGATAATTTTGAATACACTCCAATTTTAAAAATAAATATAAAGGTTTCAAAGTGCCAAAAGTTATTGGAACACCAACAAAATAAGAGGTAGTTAGAAGGATGAGTTCACAGATGGTATTCGGGGTTTTGTATGATTTTGTTAAGTTGCTTTTTCAATTAGTTTTTATAGGAAGATCTGGAATTGTATAATGTGCTTTAAAGGTATTTCATTAAAGCAGTTACTAAAATTTAAACCATTATGAAACACTTTGCCTAATTACATACAATATTGTAATGTATGTGAAATCCTCTTGCAAAATGTGAAGTGCTATACAAAGTGGATTGGATCAATATGTGTTTCCCGATAATGCCAGATAAATGAGCTTTATCTGTGTCTTTGTAGTAGAAATATCACATTTAAGTGTCAAAAAAATTTGATATTCTTGTTAAATTGTTTTTGTATAAATATATGAATACCCTCAATTTCCTAAATATTAAACACACACACACACACACACACAGCTCAGATATTAGTGCTTTAACTGAGCATAGCAGTGTGAGCAGTGCTGGGAGAAGATCCTAGCGCACGGAGTGACCTTTACCTTGATAAACAAAGTGAAAGCCCCGGGCAGATGCTCCGCTCTTTGCGCTGAATCGGAGGAGAATCTGATTTGATGTCGCCAAAGGCAATGTTTCACCTAAAGAAAAAAATCAAGAGACAATACATGGGATCCCTAGAAGACACCGCATCGTGGTGGACAATAGTTTGGAAAAAAATTATTCACTTGGAATTTTGCATTTAATGGTTGGACATTTATAAAATTTCCCTTTAGGTTCAGGACCCAGACACCTTGTATCTATCAAGATTTTAAAACTGTTTTCGTCTATTCGTTCTGTTAAAATGTTACTTTAATGATCATCTCATTTAGGCTTCCTTCTGAAATAGGCACTGGTTATAAGTCTGTTAGCTGACAATGTGGGAAATCGAAGAGTCAGATTTATTACTGACTCAATCAACTTTATTTGAGAATGACTTGCTGGGATTTTATTTAAAATAAGAAAATTAAGGAAATCTGAATCCAAAGCTGATTTTAAAAAAATTTTTAAGGCTTTCGGAAAAAATTAAAAAAAAACTTATGAAAATATATTTTCACCTTTTAAAGTACATCTACACTAGAGGAATGGTCTCTCTCAAGTGCTGCTAAGGGGCAGATGAATGGCATTAGCATTTCAGAGGTGAATTTGTCCATAGGTATCAATATTTTAAATCTGTATCTTCTGGTACATTTCTAGACATTACATCATTGGACATTGGCAGAAAATAACAAGACATAGATCTTAAGACTCTTGGTTAATGATAGGGAAAACCTGGGAATAATCAAATCCTAACCCTGGTTGGCAAAAGTCTGTGACACACCTATGTGCTTTGATTGTACTTTGGTAAATGATGAAAACACATCATGGTACAAACCTTGCCCCTTGTACAAGATCCAAATCCATGAGGGGCTAAGTAAATTAGGCTGTATTGATCAAGTGAGTACTAGTCAGCACTAAAACTAATTACTTTGGTGTATATTCATATTTTTTGATAGGGGAAGACTCCACTTGTGCTTTTATATAAGAATATGGCAAAAAGACTGAGTTGTGAAAAAACATCCCGTGTTTTATGAAGCCCCACATGTTTCCATGCATACATGCGCACACACTCATGCATGCCTGTGTGTACACATATGTACCCATATACATGTGTGAGTGTGATGGATCTCTCTATGTATGTATTTAAAGGCTGGCAATGATTTAGACCAAAATATTGATACCATTTATCTCCAGGAAGATCATGAGACATAGAAGATAAAATAGAATACACAAGATAGTTTATTACCCCTTCTTTTTCTGATATTTGCCTCTGTTATTGAGATGGATATTATATTTTCTACAACCTTAATAAGTAAAATGATAAAAGTTCAGGGGTTTTATATGTGGAATAAAAATACAGTTGAAATTTTCCATCAAAAATAAGGTTTTATTAATCAAGTGAGCAAATTCAAAGATGATTGCATTTCTCTTTCATTAAGAAGAAAAAAAATGACAAGTTCAAAATTAATCATTCTGGCTGTCTAAAGAAAATTCAAGACAATATTCATTGACTCTTTACCTGAATGTGACCCAGAGAGTGAGCTGAGAAGTCTGGCTTGTGGGTGTGTTCCATCAAACAATTCTGCCAAATCATTCAGCGCCGTCTGGAAATAGGCAAATTGTCCAAACACCACTGCAAAATAAAGGGGGTGGGTTGGCACAGTGTGCTTTCTCAAAAATAAATATGTGGAGATCATGGCTGTACTACCTATTTATTGATTTCTCCAAAGATCATGATCCTAAGAATCCTGTAGAAAATCATTAACTGGTTTTCTCTGGTTTCTAAGAGTTTTTAGTTGCTTAAACAATTTTATTTTGCTTAGTGATGACTTCATACTTAATAAAAGGAATACAATTACTGTTCCCTATATAGTCTGAATATTAATTTTTTCAGTACTACATCAGGATCGTAGAAGAATAGCCACAAAGCTGCTCCATGTACTTAAGAGCAGTTAGTGGCATTTTATGGGTACAGGAATCAAGACACCTGTTGGTTTTAAAAAACAAGCCAAAAACTAAAACTAAAAACTAAAAACTAAAAACATGCCAATTTGACAAAGAATTTAAAATTATTTACTTAGGATTATTCTAAAGTCAAATTCATATGAGCTCATTGCAATTTCTACATAAGTCAGCAACATATTACAGAAACTGTTTATTGTCATTCCACTGCACAGCTTTATTTATCTTATAGGCGATATCAGTAGCAAGAACACAACTCCTCCAAGTTGAACACAGCTGTGCATTTCACTACTTCGAATTTAATAAATTATTTTGTACTCAAATCAACAATAGGGCCTTTGCAATATTTAGAAACATTTGAGATTTAGCACATAATCCAGGACCAACTAATTCTTATTTATGTGTAAGGTTTGAACTAGAATCATTCCAAATCATCCTGAATAAGAAATGGATATGGGCGTATCAGTTACACTTGTCAGAATTCTAATGAACGAGTTAATGTGAGTGTTGGCAAAATGGAGGGGATCTAACTGTAACAGCTTGTGTGCATGTGTGTGTGTCTTCTACATATGCCATATATCCTATTACACACATGTATCATATATACATACATGTATATGCATCACGTGTAGTATACATGTAATAGAATACATGCACACCTATATACATATATATTTAAGACTTTATAATTCCTTTATAATTTCCTAGAGAGAAACAATCAAAGGAAGCATGGGAGCAAGGAGGACTTTCCCTGTGGGTGAGGTGTTCTAAAACAAAGAATTAGAAAGAGGAAGAGAACTTTATGATTTTGACATGGTTCTGGCTCCTACAATACCTTTGTTCACAGCCCCCCGTCCCCCAAAATAAATCTTCGTCATGTTGGAGGCAGGACGCTTGGGTCTTTTCAATCGTACAACAGTGAATCATACACACATAATTTCAAGAAACTTTGATTTAGTTAATTACTTAATTATTTTAAGAAACTTTTAGAAAGCATCCACTTTATGCCGGAATCTGAAGATGGCTAAGATTAGAAACAAGGTCCAAGGCCTGCCACATGCCAAAGTGTGCAGTGCTCCCCATGACGGATCGAGGTTCAGGGTCTGCACATCAGCAGACATGAGGCTGTCTTGGTGAGCTGCTTGGGCTGAGTTCAGGCCGCTGACTGGTTCCGCTCCAGAGAGCAGACGTCTGCCAAGAGCGACCATTGCTCACTGCTGTGGACGCTGCAGCTAGATGTGACCATGACGGGAACGAGTAAGGGGCTGTAGGTCATGAGCCACGGGGCCGCTGTTCCCAGCTGTGGGGGAGTCTGTGTCCACCGGAGGAGAGAGCAGCATCACTAGTCCTTAAAGCAGGAGAACTGAAACCCTTCGTGTGTACGAATGAAATGCAGGGTTCTTTCAGCCAGTGAACATTAAGAGCACAATTCTGCAGGTGACGAATGTGGCCATTGGTCTGGTTTGGCAGGTGCTCAGTGAGGAAGGGAAGAGGAGGGAATTGGGGAGCCAAGACCCTGGCAGCCTAGGACTTCAGGGCCTGGAGGCCTACACCTGAATACCCGGGGTTTCCTCGTGGGCAAAAAAGTGAGTGAAAGATGTCGATCATGGTGTTTCCAGGATCAGAGCTTTGTTTCAGAAAGGATACTTTGGTGATGCTTTTGAATGAAAATAGGGAGAGGATTGGGGTATCTGAAGACCTGCCTCGAACGTCCTTCCCATTTGGAGCCTGTGTTCACCATACTTGTGCCCCTTCCAACCTCGTGAGGTTCACCCCATGAGCTGATATGGGATTTAAAAAGTGGGCATTTCACTGGCACAGACTATATTTTATTCATCTTGGCCCTTATGACAATTTTTGAATTAATTATTGAATTAATTTATTTCCCAGGAAAGAATATTTTCTTCTCTTCTTCCATAAGAGAAGAAAGTACAAGATAAAACAGAATAGATTAAAATTTTCCGCCTGGATTGAATGTGATAAATGTACATCATTATACATTTCAGATTGGGAAATGGTGATCAATATTTAGGATAGAGGTGTGACTGTTTATTTTTTCTGCTGAAAAATCACAATTGTGTTGTGACAATTCAATAAACTTTGAAAAAAGCCAAAATCAGAGAATATGACTGCTATATTCCATTGTGATAAATATATTCTGTCATGTACCTATGAACAAAAATAAAAGGAACATTCATGGGAAAGTAACTGGAAGATGCTGTGGAGCACTTAGTTAGAAAAAATGAATTAAGTGGGACCAAATAAGTGACATTAGTTTAGAGGAATTGGTCCAGCATAAAGAGTGAGGATTAGGAGCTATTCTAAGTTTTCTTATCTATTATAACAAAAGTAAATATTCTGAAGCCCCTTCATTTTTTTTTAAATGACAGTAACAGGTATCATTCATTCACAGAGTAAGTGAATCTGCCCTTTGCCTGTTGGGAAGCTGGTCCCTCTGCCCTGGTCTCCAGGAACACATCCATCATTGCTGATGTTCAGATTACCATCTCTTCTTAACAGAGCAGATGCTACCAGAAGGGTCCCGCCCAAAAACCCCATCACTCTTGAGAACTGGCCCAGGGTAGACGCTAAACGGTATGGCTTCAGATACCAAGCAAGTTACATCACACGGTTCATGAAGGGCCCATGACCTAAACTACCTAAGGCTGACGTCAGTGCTTTGTGGAGGTTTTCATTAGCTTTAACAGACCTGTGAATCATAAATAATAGAAATTCACAGAAACCATCTGTCTCCCACATGCCACTTTCAACTATCCAGCAATTAACTTTCTTGTCACATAACTAACTGTACTTTTCAAGATGTTTTCCCTCAAACAAATTCTAATCTTAGAATTTTTACAATTTTGCTTTCTATCTATGAGTAGGCAGCTGCTATTTTGAATGTAAAGAACAAAAACACCTTAACTATGTAGGCTTTTAAATTTTACTATTGGAAAAAAAAAAAGAACCTTGGCTATAAAGCTATAAAAGCTTCTCTGTGGTTTACTCCAGAAAAGAACTCAAATCATAAGAAATATCTGTGGTCAAGAGTGAAATTGGAGGTGTGGGAATCCAGCTTTGGGTAAACGGAGCGTAGACCCCCCCAGGAAGGCCCTTTTATTTATTTATTTATTTATTTTTTGGCCCTTTTAGCAATGAAGTCATTCCGAAACCTGGCTCAGATTGGAAGCAAAGTGAAAGAGGGAAATTTGCAAGTTAGATGTTGAGTCAGATGGGGGTTCTGCCTGTTTTTGCATCTCTAATCACTCAAAGGTAAGTTCAGTGACCCAGTGATTTCTGTCATAATCTGATTACAAAATGTATGTACAAATTAATATACAGTGTTCCCCTGGCCCACCTTACTTGGCAATCCTCCCTTGGGGAAAAAATATGCTTTCTAACAAAAGTGGGAGCAAAGTCAAACACAATTTTCTCTGATTATTCTGGATCACAATCTTAGAACATTTAAGCATTTCATATCACATTGATAAAAGAATTGTAGTGGATACTCTATACCTTTAGAAAACCTGCTGCTTTAATACAACTCATCTTCTTGTATATGATTTTATTATATCGAAAGCTGAAATATTTGTTTATAAAACGACAGAAACATCAACAATGAAACAAATATGATGAATACAACACTAAAAGCCAACTTACCAAACTCCTTGGGTACTGTTATGGAGTAGAGGCATATCTGACCAGCCGTGTAATTATGAGGGTAGTTGGGTGACAAAACGACCCCTTCAGATCCCGTGTACTGGCCTCCGCAGGGAGCTGCAGGTAGAATCAAGCAAAGGTCATGGCAGCGCTTTCCCCGCGCGGGACAGACCACTGAGGATGAAAACGGAGGCGCTGAGTGGCTTGCCACCGTTGGTTAAAACCATAACAAAGTAGCAACGTGAAAAACCACTTAACATTACTATCCCAAGTGAAGGAAAAAGAAAAACAGAGTTTCCAGGTTTGAATAAAGAGAACTCTGCTTAGGAGGAAAACCTAAGATGATTTTAGGACCTCTCTCAGCCTGAAATAATCATGAAAACAGCTGTAACAAACAGGTTCGATACAGACAAATCTTTTTTTTTTTTTTATGTTCAGTTAGCCACTATATAGTACATCATTAGCTCTTGATGTAGTGTTAACGGTTCATAAGTTGCGTATAACACCTAGGGCTCATCACCACACGTGCCGCTATAGACAAATTCCTGAATTACTGAATCTCACTTGAATTTTCTGGTTGGTATTGGTCATCAGATTAATTTAAGAGCCACAAAGATGATTTCGGTTTTCTACTGATTTTATGTTACTATGGCACTTAAAAAAATAATGTTTGCTTTTAGCATTTGGTTGTTGCTTTAACTTTTCATCTCACAAATTTAGTTCAAGAGTAACGGGTAGAATTACTAATGTGTCAGAGTCTTTTCCTGTAAGTTTGGTTTAAAACCGAATTAATTCTTAACTAGAAGTCAGGGCAGATACAACAATGGAGTGTCACATGCAGAGCTCGGGGTGTGTGTGTGTGTGTGTCTTCATTTTCCTTCTGATGATTTTATTCACTTGCACATTGCTTTTGCTGAGTAATACTTGAGCAAAGAAGTTCAAAATACTCGCTATAAGCATCTTAAAAAACAGACATTCAATTGAATCCCAGGCTCATGATTTCCAGTGTTTTAATTAAACTGCCTTTACTTCAGTCCCTCTTATTTCACTTAAGGTCCAGGTCAGCAGAGCATGCCAGGAATGGGAGCCACTGAATGGGCGGCCACCTACCACCTGAACACAATGCCCTCACGGACCTGAAGTCAGAGTCATTTTCAGCATTTGAGAAAGCCTGTAGTTCTACAACTTCTTTTTTTTTTTTTTTTAAAGATTTTATTTATTTATTTGACAGAGAGAGACACAGCGAGAGAGGGAACACAAGCAGGGGGAGTGGGAGAGGGAGAAGCAGGCTCCCTGCTGAGCAGGGAGCCCGATGTGGGGCTCGATCCCAGGACCCTGAGATCATGACCTGAGCCGAAGGCAGACACTTAACGACTGAGCCACCCAGGCACCCCTCTACAACTTCTTGATATGAGAATTTTCAAGCACTAAAAGAAGGCAGAAATCAAAGATAATATATTGAATCTTTTGAATGTTAATCAGCACATGTGAAGTCTTAATTGATGGGCATTCTCGGAGATTCGTCAAACTCTTGGAATTTAATGACCCTAACTTCAAAGCATCTCATTCATGCTTTGTGAGATTTTGAAGCTGTATCTTACAATAAATAGCATGTGAAACTTACATCTTATTCTAAGCGTCAAAGGAAAATAGCTTATGCATCCAAAAGCTTTGATCTATTTGTGATCAGCTTATAGAGATTTTAACTATACTAAGTGTGGTCTTCATGCTGATGCCTTAATTTGGAATAATTTTATCATTTCAATGCACTTCCATTGATGTTTTTACAATTCTAAATAGAAAAAAAATTATTTTAACTTCTGGTAGTAAGTTAAACTCCCAGGCCACAAGTTTTGCATGAAATGCTGGGTGACTCATTCTACTAGTTTAGATACATCACTTATTTTTTTTTTCACCTCATCCATATAAGTGTAACCGGGTTATTTCAGGATTATTTTTTTCCTTAAAAGCTTAAAGTTCAAAATTTAAAAAGTAAGTACCAATAAAGAATGGAAATTTATCATCTTACAGCCATATAAAATTCAAGCAGATAACTGTGCAAATATCCTTTTTTTTTCATTTAGAAAACTCATACAGTTCAAATTTTAAGCCACAATTATAAATAAAAAATATAAGTAAATCATCGCTGGGGTAACATTTGGATGCCCAATTATCAGACAGACTTCTGTCTTATCAAGGATACCATCTGATGAATTTGTGAAAGAATAACTACAAAGATTTATTTTGTTCAAGGGTAGGATGAAAGAATATTATTTTATGATAACATAAGTCATTAAAAAAGCAAAAATACAAAATGAAAGAAAACTGACCTGACATTTTAGGTCCACTGCTGCCTTGATAAATTGTGTTATGCCTACAAGTTCTTCCTCAGACACTAAAGATAGATACCCAAACTTTGTATTTCAAACACAATTAAATATTTGTGAAACTGATAAAAAATATGTAGAGAATTTTCATTTCATTCTCAATAATTATTCTGTCTGTATGGCTGTGTTGATGTAAGAAATATATGGGCGTGGGCTTTTCCATAACAGAAATTATTTTATGTTACTGTGATAAAAGAAAAATAGATACGTGCTTACTCTTTGGAAATCGACGTATCAAACAAATCATTTCCTAAATGAATACAGAGTTGCAACAGCATCATGGCAGATGGTCACAAGAAATGTTACTCATCCATCTGGTTAATTGGAATATATGTCTCATATGTAAAGGCAACAAAATACAATCAAACTGAACGTAAACCAAAAAACATAGCAAACATCCTGCCCCATGAAAGGGGATCTAGGGTGTTCCCATTTCAGTTCTGACTTTATAGTAAATTTCAGTGAAGAAAAACTGGAGCCAACAGATGAATCACCAAGAAAAAAATCATATCCTACACTTAAAACAAACTACTCCAAAATGCACTGACCGCATTCCATAATATATGAACTATCGAAATGTTAAAAATGTAGCAGAAGTCCCCTGATTTCGTAGGTCATCTGAATGATCCACATATATTGCCATGCACAAAACATGCTTTTCCCCATGACAGATCCAGAATAAACTATGGCAAGAAGTAATTTCTGGTTTAATGATTTGGGTTTTGAGTTTTGTTGAAATGTAAATAAATACCATAAATAAAAATTTATGTTTTATGCACTTTGAGGCCTGGTAAATAGAAATTGTGCCTGACTTTATAGGTGGTTTACTTATGTGGTATATCTGCTGGGAAGTTCAGTGTGTGTAAATGCATTGGAGATACTACAATTACATGCTCAATAGTCACATGCTGACTGGATGTGATCGACAGTCTGGGATCATTGCCCTTTGTTATATGAAAATGATCATGTGTGCTACATACATATAGATTAAAATTCACATATAGAATAAAATTTACATATAGAATCAAGATGTTCTATTTATTGAGCATCTACTTTGCTTGGGAGCCTTATTCATATTCCATTAAATCTTCCCAGCACTGGTTAGGCAGGTATTCTTACCCTCTGAGCCCTGGGTGGTGAAGCTAGGATTTGGCTGCCTCTAGATGGATAACCCTGGCTCCCTGCTCTAGCCCTGCCCTGAGAAACTCCTTCCCAAACCATGAGTGTCCTCAAGACCCAGGCAGGTTGCTTTTGGGCAGCCCATGACCCCTGGACTATGGCCTGTGGGTGTGCACTCCCTAGGCCTTTCAGGAGCTAAGGGGCTGGTGGCTGTCAGTGTGAGAGCAGAACAAGGCGGCTAGCTGGGTTCCACACCCACATCCCTGGGGCCCTCCTGCAGGACAGGGACGGGGCACGGGGCCTCCACTAACAGGACCCACTCCCTGACAGGGGGCGTGAGCTCACACCTTACCCCTCCTGTGTGTTCCAACTGGAGCCCCTCAGCCTCCCCTCCTGCAGGTACCCTGCAGTGCCCTCCACTGTGTTCACCTCCCAGATGCCTATTATTCTAGTTTTTAGTAAACTTAGCTAGAAGGACCCACAACTTTAATGTTGTTCAATCTCCCAAAGCAACTCACACAATAACTTAAATATGTAGCTGTTCAGCATTTTTCATTAATTAGATCCATGGAGGGGCACCTGGGTGGCTCAGTTGGTTAAGTACCTGCCTTCGGCTCAGGTCATGATCCCAGGGTCCTGGGATCGAGCCCCACATCAGGCTCCCTGCTCGGCGGGAAGCCTGCTTCTCCCTCTCCCACTCCCCCTGCTTGTGTTGCCTCTCTCGCTGTCTCTCTCTGTCAAATAAATAAATAAAAATCTTTAAAAGCAATAAAAAAAACATGGAAAGCATGGATTCATAAATTGACCTTTCTTTTTTTTAAATAATTTTTTATTGTTATGTTAATCACCATACATTACATCATTAGTTTTTGATGCAGTGTTCCATGATTCATTGTTTGTGCATAACACCCAGTGCTCCACGCAGAATGTGCCCTCTACATAAATTGACCTTTCTGATCATGATTTAAAATTCAAAACTAACTTATGCTGCCTAGAGCTAAAAATCTACAAAATTCCCTTATAAATTTGCTTTTTATATACACATATTATTTTAATATATATGTGCATGTATCACGTACATGATACATATATATTTAATCTACATTTAATATATATGTTTAATTTTTATTTAACCTAATATATTTACTTTTTCCTAATGTATTATATTTCCTAATATGTATTTAATATATCTTAATATATATTATATGTTTATGTTTATGTATTAACAACAATATAAATAAGTAATATACTTTTTTATTATATGTTTACAGGTTTATTTCCCTTTATATTTATAGGTCTGTATATATGTATATATATAAAAAGAATAATTTACATATTTAACAAGTGATTTTCAAACTTTGAAATGTAAAAATTAACTGCAAACATTGAAACAGAAGTTTTAGATTCCTTTTTAAGAATTTGAGATGAATGATGTTTCTCGGGCCCTTTCAAATCTATGAGGTTCTTGGGCATTTTATTTTATATATAAGGCATTATTTATATTTTATAAAGGGTACTTGCATTTTAAATGTAATTAATATAAGATGGAATTTATATGAAGTCCCTATGAACTTTAATATATACATATATGTGGATTTTAAGTCTATCTTTTATAGCTAAATTTCCATGTGACCATTGGGATAACCCCATGGAGGGTGTTAGGCAGATATTACCATTGTCCCTGTAGAGAGGACACAGAGGTCCACAGGCACTGGGCCACTTTTCCACTTCACCCAGGGACTTAACAGTTGGTCTGGAACTAGATTCCATGTCTGTGGCTTTTCCTCTGGTCCGAAATAGTGCCAATGCTGTGGGGGGAACGTAGATTTGCAACGAGGAAAACCCACAGGACCTAACACATACTTCAAAATAAATATATTAGGATGGCCTTCTTTCTCATGCCCCATGGAAGAGAGTATGATGCTGTGACTCATACCTTATCGGTTAAGTTCAGACACTAATGAAAAACATCGTGGACACACAGACCATGCATGAGGCCCACGGCACACTTACTTTCCCTCTCAGGACGCTCTGCTCTTCCAGACCCGCTGAAATCGGAGAAGCATCAAGGATTCTACTTTTATTTTTATTATTAAAATGTGTAAGATTAGGAAGATTCAACAGGCTGCAGATTTTTTTTTGCAGATTTTTCCATTAAAAATTACTTTCAGCCATTCACTAGTTGATTCATTTCCTCTAGAACCATCTATGCAGTGCTTCCTGTGGACCAGAAACTGGTGCTGGATCCTGGCAAGGCAGGCTTCTTTAGCCGAAAAGCCCTCAGGTTCATAAACACAGAAACACAGAAGGTGCAGTACAACCAAGGGCATTATGCCAGTTTGTTTTGTTTGCTTTAATTTTTATGTGCTAATTTTTAAATTCCACCTATATGGTCAAAGGTATTAGTATCATTGTGAGCTGTCCTGAGGGAGGGGAAAGTTTTGGGTCAGTTCAATATATCTAACTAAACTGGTCCTTGAGTTCGCCCCAAAATAACTTGGAAATCACTTTTTTTTCCTGCCAAACTCATGGGGTTTTACCATCTTCTTTTTAATGTGTGTCCCTCTCAGAGTAGAAGGTACCAGTCATCCGTCTACAGCTGGAGGAGTCTTCTCTGGAGACTCTGATGAAACCACGGACTAGAGTCACACTGAGTGTGCCAGCGACCCGGAAATCTATGTCACCTCCTGTCACTGCATGGCCCAGGGCATCTGCCACCAGGCTGTTCTCACCACAGCCCTCTTCGTGAAGGCCGATCGGACCTTTTAATACGTGGCTTTATTCATTTCATGCCCATATAAAGAATTACAATGATTGATATTTTGGGGGGAAAATGACACATAAATAGATATATATGGAGAGAGATAGAGACAGAGAAGGAGAGACACAGAGAGACCTAGAGACGCAGAAAGACAGAGACGGGGAGAGAGTGCCCCTAGACACTGGCATTAGTACCTCTTATGTACCTTGGGCCTAGAATATGCAAACACAGAAGTTAAAAATGCCAAATTAGGGGCATCTGGGTGGCTCAGTCGTTAAGCGTCTGCCTTCGGCTCAGGTCATGATCCCAGGGTCCTGGGATCGAGCCCCGCATCGGGCTCCCTGATCCACGGGAAGCCTGCTTCTCCCTCTCCCACTCCCCCTGCTTGTGTTCCCTCTCTCGCTGTGTCTCTCTCTGTCAAATAAATAAATAAAATCTTTAAAAAAAAAATGCCAAATTATCTGAGAGAAAAATACCGGCCCTTCCAGAAGCCCATGACAATGGCCAATACACTAGTTCCATTAAATGAGGGAGGAATGTGAAGTTCTTGGTCCACATTAGCATGTACGCAATCCGACCCCAACCACTGGTTAGAGGAATAGAGCAGGGAAGTGTGGTGGCGTTTTAAAATGAGATTGGGCATTCCAAAACAAAAGTATTACTGAAGGGAAACACAGAATCCATGCGTACCATTGCAGGAAGGCAAGGCTCGGCTCCAGGCAGGTTTTCCGTCTGCTCCGATCACACACGTGATGGACGAAGGGTCCACAATTTTATAGCCAGAGTCACACTGGTAAGTGACAGTTGAGCCAAGCTTGAAGTCTGTGCCAATTCTTGTCCCGTTCATTATATTTCCAGGGTCAAAACAGGCTTCCCGTGGCTTCTCTGTGGAAGAAATAAATGTCAGCTCCATGAGGGCAGGAAACAAACTTCTGTTCGTTTGGTGGTTTACTCTTTTTATTTAGTGCCTAGAACGGTGCCTGGCATACAAGAAAGGTTCAAAAAGTATTCACAGATTGACCAATGACCAAGCTATTAGTTAATTATCAAGTTCATATTAATAATGATATGTCATAAAAATGATTATCAAGTTAACAATTATCAGTTAATAATTAAATATCATAAAAAATAGGAAAAAAATTCCTATTTAATGAAAATATATTTCTTTTTTTAAACGTATTTTAGTGAAGAATTGCTATTGAATTACTGTCATTTAGGTTAAACAAATACAGCATTATTTTTTTGTGCATCTTTTTCTCCCTCCTCTGGATTATAGTGCTGAACCAAAGATGTTGACTTAGGAAGAGTTGAGGTCATTTTTGACCTTTGGACTTAAAGCCTATTGACGTGAAATCACAGCACGTGTCAGGAAGCCGTGAGAGAATGCGACTTCTCAGGAAGACTGGTTTGGTTCACGCAAGCTAAGTGTGCTTTCTGATACTGGTAATAGCAGGTGAACCTTCCCGGGAAAGTGCTGATGGATGAACCTCAAGCACTGCATCTGTCCTGTAATAACCACTCTGCCATCCCAACCTAATTTCAGGAACTGCCCAGATGAATCCAGGCCTGTTCCGTACCAGGCACTGAGCTGGGGGCACTGCGTGCTTTAATTCTGCTCCTCATGACGCCTCTGCGGGGATTGTCACCAGCCTGCTGTCAATGTTGAGAATCTGAAGCTTGAGCTCAATGAGTTAAAAAACTTTCACTAAAAGCCTGTCTTTTCCCGAATATAAATACAAAACTGTCTGTTTCTTTTTTCCCTCTGAGACTTGTAGCTATATGGTCAATTCCAATTAACTTTTGGTGACCTTAATATTTTGATTGTCTTTATATTCAGTAGACCTTCCAAAATATTTCTAAATGGAAACATATATCTATAGTTACATTGTACATCATTTCATCATTTGAATTGCTTTTTGCTTGTACATGTCAACATTCTTCATGCCATCATCAAAGTTCCTGGTAATGTCAGAAGGCTCGAGAACTGACTTTTATAGATCTTCAAGTGATCAATATAGAAGTTGTCTGAGATTTTCATCATTTTTCAGCTGAAAGTCATAAAAATACAATTTGGCTTGTGTATGTGTGTGTGTGAGACAGAGAGAGATTGGGGTCATTAATGTGAATACATGCTCAAGGATAACATGTTTTTGCTCTCTCCTTTTGGCTTGACAATCTTTTCCCCTGTAGAAAGTTTACACATGTCAGTTTCTTCATTCATTGTAGAAAATCCAGTACTGATCACACATATAAAAGATTTCTGAAAATTATAAGGGGTAGACTGAATTGTTTTTGGCTGGGATTAATATTGGTCCCTATTTAAATCTCTTCTTACTGATTGTTTACGTGCTGCTTATTACTAATCCTACACACTCGTGTTTGGAGGAAGAACATCCTGAGAGATTGTGCAGGTATGCCATGAAGGATGAATAATGAAATGAGTTTTGAAAACTTTACACTGTACATTCTCTTAGGAATGGATGATATTTAGAAGAAGAAAAAAGCACAAAGTGTGGGAAGTTTTGCAGGAAAAAAAGAGACCTGCTTAACTATTTATTCCTTATTTTCCATTATATTTATAAAAATCTATGTGTCAACATCAGCCAAACAGAGATATCTTTGGCAATTGCTGATTTAATCTTAATTCTTAATTATAAGAATCTATTATGCTATTTTACTGACTTCCATACTTTGGCCAAAATATATACTAAAAATATTATAGATTATAATATATTATTATATCATTATATATTATAATACATAATATATATTAATTAATTGAACGTTAATTTAATATACACTATTATATTATACTATTATGTTATAATGTATTATAGTATCACATTATAACACATTGTTATATATTATTATATTGCAATATATGTGTTTATATATATATATATATTGCATTATAACCAAAGCATGTAAATGTATGCAGACATATATATAAATAAATGTATATTATATGAATATATAACTTATGATGACATAGAAACAATAATATGTATTATTATATGTAAAATAATATAAAACCTTCTTACAGGCTTTTACTGGGCTGGTATTGGAGTCCGTCCCTGAGAACTGTGGATTATGTTGGGACCAGTGTTCTAGTCACTTTATCGAAAGCCGATTTGGGTGTTCTGAAGGGTAGGTGACGTGTTAACTCTCTGTAGCTGCGTAAATCCCATATAGAGCCCGGAACAGTTAGTTTAAGCAGAGAAGGAATGGATAAATAAACCAGCGGGCCCTGAAGGGTCGCTCCTGCTGTTTAGGAGGCTGTTGTTTACCACCGTCCAGCAGAGCACACGGAGCACCCAGCAGACAGGAGCGCTGCTCTAGTGTCAGGCGTTGCCTGCACACACGGCAGCCCCCCTATTCAGGACGCCCTCCCACACCCCCAGGAATGCCTGAAACTACAGATAGCACCAGACCCCACATATGCTACAATGCATTGTATATATACACCTGTGACAGTTTAACTTATAAATCAGGCACACTAAGAGATGAGCAATAATAATTAACAATAAGATAGAGCAATTATAACAATACGCTGTAATAAAAGTTATGTGAATGTGGTATTTCTCTCTCTCTCTCTCTAAATATCTTATTGCCTTGTCCTCACCCCTCTTGTGACGGGCTGAGAGGATAAAACACCCACCATGCGGGAGGTTAGGGGGATGACCTAGACAGGGTGATCCAGCGTCAGGTGACGGGTGACCCTGAGGCTGTAGCTCGGGGGGAGGGACATCTGCTGAGGACAGACACAGTGGACCCCGGTCACCCACACCAAGAACCGGGCAGCAAGCCATAGAGAAGGGGTCTACCACACATGCCCATTGCCTTCTCAGCCTCTTCAATCACGTTTCGTTATAAATCTCTTTTAGTTTAGTTGACTGGTTAATGCCACTTACATGATTATCTGCATGGTGTCACTAAGTTAGGTTTCTGAGGGCAAGTGTAGTCTTCAATTCTCAAAATGAACTGCGTGGAATCTTTTGGTTTCATTCATCCGGCTGTCAGTTCAGGATGTTTCACCATAAATCACAGATACTGTTTTTGCTTACAGTTTGTCACATTTTCTAACTCAATGACTTCATAAGGAGCTGTGTTTTGCCATAGTTCGTGTCCGTTCTCCTTAAGGAGACACCCCTGAGTATTCCTGCCCTGGGGGCGTGCAGGTGGAATCAGCCAGGGGCCAGAGATGGTGGCTCAGCGAGGCTGCCCATGGCTCCTACTCATCGTGCTGGAGCATAGGTTCTGCTCCCTGCATCTCTGACCCTCCAGGGGTGCTTGCTGGGGCAGAGCAAGATACTGCTCCTTCCCTTGTCTTCCGCCAGTTGTATTTGTTCACTGCCTCTACTGGAGAGCTCTCCAAACATTCAGAGCTCTAGCCACCAGATAGATGGTTAGTCTGGTCACCAAAGAACCCAAACAAAAGATGCAGGTCTTCCCTTCCATTCTTATTCACTCACTCATTGATCATCTATTCTAGAATGCCCTGGAGGATACACGGTGTCCAAGTAGGCAGTGATAAATGTACATCCCTATATTTAGATGCAGTGTCATGCTTTTTTAAATTCATTATAGAATGGGCATTGTCATGGTGAAGTGCATTTCTGTGAGTACTTGTTAATATAGAAACTACCTGATGATATGGTAAATGCTTAAAAGTACTGTCTTCAATTATTCATAAACATTACAGATCCCATCCCCAAAGCACCAGAACTCCACTGATTGCTGAATTGCTTAAATTTTTTTCTATTGTACATTCTAAGAAGAATCAGAAAGTTTTGTAGGTTTTGGTGTTTAGAGGGAAATACATTAATTTTCTACTTAAAACCATGTAAAGAGGTACAAGTCCAGTGAAGAGTTAACAGAAATGAAATGTGTTTTGCATTTTATTTGACAATTTAATTACTAGTAATAAGTAACTCATAAGTTTAAATATACATATTTTCATTATTTTTTCCAAAGCACTCACTACTGTGAATTGATATTTCATTAAGTCCTTTTCTCTAATTCTTAGTAATGTACCTTGCATTTTCCTTGTTCACACGAGAAATGGATTTGGAAAGCGTGTAATTATTTTCCTGGATCCTATAGCAAAACTCTTAGTTTAGGGAGGTTTTTGTTTGTGAGTTTGTCTCTGTTTTCTCTGGATGTTTGGTAACGGGGATGGTGGATCCCAAAATGAAGTGGGAGACACCTGACTAGTGACCACACAAGGAATCTCTGCCTGCCCTAGGCTCCTCAGACCAGCACCCATGGGTGCCAGAGCAGGGGAAGGCTCACAGATATTACACATGGAAAAACATGGAGATAAATCTAAGCTATTTTGATGTACTTAGTCATTCTGATGAAATAAATTAGAAGATATTAAAACACATCTTAAAATAATTCTTATATGCCATCAAATCCTTCAGTACACAAATCACAATTTATTTGTACATGGCCATAAATTTGGGGAAAAAGAAATTATTCATTTTTTTTCTTTCATCTAAGGTAGAAATGTGTCTCTGGATTTTCTTCTCCACTGGAAAGATCGAAATGTCTTTCCCCAGACGGATGACAGGGATGTGAGCATTTTATGTATTAAACAGACATGCAAGACATCAGAAATAAATGCTTACAATGGAAAAATCTCAATACAAATTATTTGGCACACAAATTAAACTGATCACAGTACCTTTAAATTCAATCGCGAACCCCGATAAGCCCACAGAAGCATCACTCCGAAATGCCAGAAAAAGACTATTTCCACTACTCTCTATTCTTTCTGGGGCTTGAGAGCCCTGGAAACTTCCAAGGAGAGGTCTGTTAGAGTCCTCTCCTTCATAGATATGTAGGAAATCATAGCTGGGCTCCATGTTGAAACTAAAGGAAAGAGAATTCATCAGGTTAGGCACCTAATATGTATCTCTCATCTTCCAGACCAGAAAGTTGCTGAGATCACACAGTGAGTTCATTTGCTTCCAAGCAACACTTGTTAAAAATTAGAACAACGTAAAAGTTAAATGTAACGATAATTTAAATATCAAAATAGCAGTGCGTATAAGAACTATTAATGGTAAATACTGTTAATATTTTACATAATGACCACTGTATTGAAAATAGTATGATTTTGAAGTTAACAGTAAGAAGATGAATCCTAATAACGTGGACACAGTATCTCTTCCCCGCACTCATGGAATTGCTAAAGAAATATGGTTTGAAAGAAATGGGATCAAAAGGGAAGAAGTCCCACTGACACTTGATTTCTATGTGAATATTTTTAGTTTGAAAAACATGTATCTTTGCTATTATATTAAAGTTTTGTTTAAAAAATTCTTTCCCTTTGACTTTGTTTTTACTTTTAAAAATGTAATTGCTTCTCCTTGCTTGGGTAAATCGGCTGATGTGAGTCATCCCTGTGGTGGTGCAGAGTGTGGTAGGCACCTGGTCCAGCCCATGTTTCTCCATCACTGACTTTATCCCAGTTTTCTCTTTCCCATTCCCTTCCCTCTGTCTCTACTCCTCTCTCTTTCTTTCTTCCCTAGCATTAAATATCCCCGTTATATCCCCAAAGCTCTCAAGTGGGATTTGGCTTTCAGTGTCTCTGCCATTTTTGATGAGAAGGCTGATGATAGTCTGGGAGCTTCAAAAATGTACATACTCCAATAAAAGACTAAACTCGCAGATGGATAAGACCCCAATGAGATCAGAACAAACCAACAAATTAGAGGTATTTAAGTAATGCATCCTGACTGGCCTTCCATTTTTCCCCCATCTCTGAATCAGGGCCTTTGCTTCCTTAGCAAGGACTCATTCTGAGCACTTCTACTCTCTCTCCTTTTAGTTGGCAGCGTATTTGGGTCATAGGGATGGAGAGTCAGGAGTCTTAGTAATCACAAACATGGGCTTTGTTTAAGTGGTTTTGTTTTTCTGGAGATTCAAGTGATGACACATGAACACGAGCTCTCTCCAGAAACTGCCCACAGCATTCTGAAGGAAGTGACAAAGAGGGGGCACCATGGAGGACCCAGCATTACTGGTTCACCCAGCCCTGCATCACTCCATCCCACTTTACATCAAGGCTACACTGGGTCCCGTGGGAGGTCCCTGGACATATTTATTAAAGGAAGTTGTTAAAGGTCTCCTTGTCTATTTATTTGACAGATTCTTTGAAATCAGAAATGAACAAGGAGTAAGAGATTGACATGAGCAAGGATAAAGGCACCAACAGGAATTGTGTCAACCAAGTGGAATTTAATTAGAATATTTTTTTTTTTGGAATACTTTAAAGAATGTTATTAGAATCTGGTCACACTGCACCCCCAACAGTTGGTGTAGCTAATTATTGTGATAGATTATTTTTGAGCACTGGAAATACATCAAGTCAAAGGCGGAAAGCAATCTGACTGCTCGCTCTCTCTCTCTCTCTCTCTGGATATACCATAATCCGTGTGTGAAAGTCTGGAGTGAAATTTGTAACTCATTATGGTTCCATTTGTAACATCCATTTCTTTTAAGATTTTATTTATTTATTTGACAGAGAGAGACACAGTGAGAAAAGGATCACAAGCAGAGGGAGAGGGAGAAGCAGACTCCCCCTGAGCAGGGGGCCCGACGTAAGGCTCAGTCCCAGGACTCTGGGATCATGACCTGAGCCAGAGGCAGACGCTTAATGACTGAGCCATCCAGATGCCTGTAAAATCCATTCTTAATTCTCCTTATGCTAGCTGCACGATCCATGAACCCCAATAATAGGCCAAAGTCTGGCCCAGCTTTTAAACCAAATTTAAATTGCGTCCCAGTGTGTGAGTTGCATAGGCTCCGCAGTGTACAGGGGCCTGTGCTAAGCCATCCCTCCCCAATCATCCCAAGTGCCAGGATGCGCTTTGGAGCTAATGTTCTGGGTCAAGTAATGCTTTGTCTTTACTGGTAGTAAGGCTGGCTGCCATCCACCCCCAGCCCCATAGAAACACACCTGACTTTAGTCAACTTCTAGAAACCGTGCATCTGGGCAGCACGTATCAATGGCAGCCCCCCTTTGCTGGGGTAGGTGAAATCCTTGTCCCCCACCCAGTGCTTCTGGTCTCCCCTCCACCTACAAAGTAGATCTGGTTTGTAAGGTCTCAGGATCATTCCCACCTAAGCACACACATGTTATCCGTGTCTTAGAAATCCCAGGTGTTTGATTTTTCCATGAAACTGGGTCAGCTAATGACTTAAGAATCTAAAAGGTGGAAGAAAGCATGGAGATTTTCTACTTCAAGTTTTTTCCAGAGAGGTGTGTAAAATAAGTAGAAAAAAAAATTCTTCTTGTATAAAACCGCCTTCTGTCTTAGCACATGGATTGCACTTTGGGAACCTTGATAATTAGTCACTGTGACACATTGGAAGATAGGAAACTCCTACTTATAAGGCTCTGTGTTTTCTAAAAGGCTTTTAATTGTTAATTCATTTTTAATCTCCTGATACCAGTGGTGTCTCCTGGTTTTAAGGAAAGCACTGGAAGAAGTTAGCATTCACAAAACCCACAAAGATATCCAAAAATATAGCAGCAAATGTTCAGTGGTTTTGTGTAATAGCTGAGTGGCATACTAAGTATTCATCACGAGGTAAATTTATAGCAGCTTGAGTAAATTCAAGACATGATGGCTTATCAAACTACTTAACATTTAGCATCACAGGCATTTAAAATTACACTGATTCAGATCCCATCAGGAGGAGAAAGTGAAAGAAGATAATCACAACCAGGCCTGGAATGGTGACATAAACATCAGAAAAGGAAACGTGTTCAATTGACAAATAAATATGATTTTACCACTTCACCCTGGAAAGAGGTGAAAAGAACACAGCCTATAGAACCGCTTATTTTTTAAAACACCCCTTCCTTTAGTTCAGAAATCAAAATGCAAAAGTGGAGATCTTTGGATTTGGGAAAAAAAAAATCAATTATCATATACCAGATACAGGTAATATGATAGTCTTATAGAATTTATATTTATAAGATAATCACAATGTTTGAAACTTCATCATCGAGTTTAGCAGGAGTAAGTTAATAATTTTTTAAAGAGTAATGGCTATTAACTCAAAGTTTACAGCAACCACATTTGGGGGAACTTCCATTTTCAAAATTCTATCAAGTCATGATATCTCAATGATAATAAAGATATTATCACAAATACAAAGGGCTACCTTTGAGAATATCAGACAAGATGTACGATGGGAATGAATTCATTATCACGCATGTGGAGAAATAGGAGACACTGATGAGAAATTATACTAAGTATATCTATATCACTTTTTTATTACTTTTCTTGAATATTCTGTAAATTAAGCCTTCTCATGTGGAACATATTGCATGCAAGATAGTATTTAAAAGTAATTCTTGCTATGTCATGTGTGTCTTAATATAAGTAGAATGCTCAACAGCAAAGTAATATATTTCCATTTATGTCATTTGGAGCCTGATGTAGTATCTATTAGAATGAGATCGAGCGGCTTCATTCAATGTGAAACCAGGCAGTCTGTGAAGGGATACACGAAGGAATTTTTAGGTATGACATTGACATTTTATAGGTATGACACTTGACATTCTACCAAAGAGAGATTCTGCAAAAGATGGTACCTTTTGAAAATCAAGGCAATGACAAAGTCTGGATTCACTCTTATTCTCCAGTCACATTCTTTGCCGGGAGGATATGGCTGTGGGTAGTTCGGTGACAAAATGACACCTGCCGGGCCGGTCAGGTTCCCTCCACATGCAGCTGTCATGGAAGAGCAACAGTGCTGGTCAGTGTGAGCAGTAAGACAGCACATAATTCGTCAAAACATTCACTACGTGTTGGGGAATTAAGCAATTTTCCAGGTGAAAATTGAAGATCCAGGAGGGCTGTACATTTTTCATGGACTTGTTCATGATTTCTACGTAACGTCCCGTCTTGTTTTTAGGGAGGATTTTTAACTGCTGACAAATAAACTTGACTTGCTATAATCTTAAACTTTACAGATTACTTTACTCCCCCACACTTCTAGGATGCACACAAACACATAAAAACACTCAGGAAGGCGAAAGAAATCCCCACGAACATCATTTATGGTCCTGCTAATTCTTCTGTCCTTTCTGGTTCACAAAGCCATTGCCAGTTTGTTCTAGAAGGCATGCTTCATGTCCAATTGTGTTTCACTATTGCCTGGCATGGTTTTTGATCAAGTATTCAGGAAATATTTATCGAGTGAACGCATACACGTTATTCCACATATTTCTCAACGTCCTCTGATGCGTGTAAGGTTTGGGACACAATTTAGAGTGTAAGTGACATCTGGGAATAGAGAACCAATAAGAGACTGAGCTAGGATGTCAATCCTAAAAATATTATGTGATCACAATGCTCAGTATGTTACTATCAGAAAAAAACACTATAGATGATGCTGATCAATCTACTCTTTTTTTTTTTTTTTTTTTACCTATCACGTTTTAATTACCTGGGTTTACATTTCTATTAGGAAGATGACAATTACGAAGTTCAACAGTGTTAAGAGACAAGCCAGTTTCCATTCTTAAACCTCAAAATGTTTAGGATGGTTTCATTTATTACATAGGATTTCTGTTAAATCTTCCATCATGTGGAAGGTGTGAAAACACTGCAAAATTCACAAGTATATACATTTCAGATGCATTCAGGAATGTGCTAGGTTTACGGTTCTCTATATCAAATACTGAGGTTTGTCACCAAGTTGCTTTAAGAAATCAGCCCAATTAAATTAAAATACTCCATCTAAACTAGATATTTTATTTCACATAATTGACCATGTATGCATATAGAAAAAAAAAGGTAAGTAGATAAAAAATACCCTAATTGGTAATCTCTTATACACACACACACACACACACACACACACGACTTTTTTGGAAATCATATGAAGGTACGTGTGTTCTAATTTTCTGTGATGACTGTGTCTTTAAATATTCATTTAGTGCTCCTGAAAACAATGTTTTCAATAAGATATATTCCAGTACTTTCTGTTAAAATTTCAGTCTCATTAAAGGCAAGCTCTACATGGTATCATAGGAAATATTTATAATGAATGCATATATATACTCAAGAGTAAAATGATATAATTTTCATAGAAATGGTTAAACCCACATTTCCCCAGCATGCAGTTTGATTTTAATAAACTCCGCTGAGACCCCTGTCTAATCAGCTCTCCCAGGACGCTGCGTCTCACAGAATCAGGTGGAAAGCCCGGGCATGGATGGTGGCAGGTGGCTCGGGGGTGGAGCACACAGGTACCTCAGGGTCTGAGGACGTTCCACCACATGCAGGGTTTGCAAGATGAAGAACGACAGATTCAGGCCATCGGCTACCAGGGTGTTGCCAGCAGGAAGAATTAGGGGATGACACTAGGTACTGATTTAAGCAAAACAAAGGGGCATTCTGGTCTTATCCCGAACAGATCCAAGGAGGCATTTCTAAATGAGGTTATCTGAAAACTTCCAGTAGAATTAAGTAGCACTGTCTTGCTGTGTTTGTTCTCTCTTTGGGTCAGGCATTCTTCATTTTAGCTTCATTAGGTTTTAATTTGAAAGCTTGCAAAATTATTTTGGATAGCATTAGGATTTAGTACAAAATGTGACTCAGCCGCTCCAGGAAATCCTCCGGAGGGAATGGACACAAAGATGAAAACCACAAATTCCTATCAATCCTCCGTGCCTTATTCGAAATCCTTAGGATCCTCTCCTTTATATATACAGTCACACCTTCATCCACCACGGCATGAAGCAGTTCTCTTTAATGAGACACATCCACATTTATTTCTGCATCAAAACATTTATGTGTTCACGCCATTAAACAACAAAACTAGTCTTGAAATAGCCACCCTGTAGATCAGGGCAAGATGTGGACACAAAATGAATTTCTGTAAATTTAGGGTAAATTCTTGCTTTTCAGAGCTCTTTACAAGTTGGACTTGGAGAAAAGGGATTGCAAGCTATATAAGAAAACAGGGATTATGGCGACTTCAAGGGATCTGTCACTCAGAAGTAGAAAGTGGTGAGTGTCCTCTGATCTGGAGGCAAGTCATTTAGACTTAGCTAAAAACCCCCAAAGGAGGTGCCTCGACCATTGGAGTCTTTTGGGAAGTGGAGAAAGGGAGCTATCCAAATGATCCACAAGAAAAATCAGCAGCAAATGACGAGGAGGTGGAAATATGAATAACATACCAACAGGTGAGAGGTTAAGAGATTTCAGAAAAGAGAAAGAAACAAAAACAGGAAGGAAAACACTATAATAATAAAAGGGGGAAAAGACATTAGTAGGCTAATCGATAAAGAACAAATTCAAACGGACAAGAAGAATATGAAACAAAAAACCCTTCAACCTCACTATTAATGTAAAATGCCTATTAAAACATCAAAGAATCATCACTTTCTGCCCATTTCAAATTATGACATTAAAAAATATGTAGTATTTTTTCCCTTCCTTCGGAGAAAATAAACACTCACTCATGGCTCTGTTCGTAATGTAAATTGGTGCAACAGTACTGAAAGAGTTTTGAAAAATGTTTTAAAAGCCCTGGAAGCACGTTAAGTTTGTAGAAATACGTCATTTATAAATAATCGTGGATACATTTTGCAACAAGAGGGTTCATTTCTGCAGTCCTCGTAGTAGAGAGGAGACGGAAGCAACCTAAGTGTAGAGTAAGATGGAATCATGTGTTCAGTGTTGGCTGATCCATGGAGATACTGTGCACTCATTAAAAACTAGTAGAGAATACACAGTAGCACAAAAAGACACTCATTTTGTACGGTAAGTCAAAGTGCAATTTACAAAATAAGCAGGATGCTGTCACTTATAAACATTTTAAAAATAGATTAGACATATATAAAAAATTATGAAGCTTACTTATGCATGTTTATGTTAACAGTATTTGCCTCCAGGTAGAAAGATGACAGTTTTTTGTCCTCTTTTTTTCCTCTTAATAACATCTATTATTTTTTAATAAGGAAAAAGCTTAAAAATAAAATTAAAAACTGTCCTAAGTCAGCAGAACAGAATTTACATGGGTGTTAAGACATGATCAGCTGATGCCCTAACGGATGGGTTTCTTACAGAGGATATAAACCTCATTTCTGGCGGAAAAGAAATGTTTACAGTGTAATGAAAAGATAACATTAATTTATTCCCAAATACACATTTTCTATTTTTCTATTTACATAATACCTACGCGTGTGGGCCTGGCTGTCAACATAACTGATACTTAATTGCCTGCAAGTGAGTTGAGCCTGTCCCTGGGGCTGATGCTCAAGGCAGAGGAAACACTGCCTATTTTCTCTGCTGAGAACTGGATTATTCACTTAATAAAATATCTAATCATTGGTCAAAATTATATAACTTAGATATAAACTACCAAAAGATGATAGATGAGTGGGGAAGATGGTCAAATTTTACAAGTGTCTAAATTAATGTCAAATAAGAAAAAATCTTTAAGAGTTTAACAGATAGTTGCATTGATTTGTAATGTACTCCTCCATGCGTTTAAAATCATGCAAAATGTGGGGGTGTCTTTCCCAATTTAAAAATAGAGCGATGGTTTGAAACGATGCTGCATTTATAGGCAATCACTCTACCTTAAAAAAGAAACACACAGAAATCTTGCAAGTCTCCAGATGACGTGGCTTGAAATAAAATGCAGGACGGCGCCCACAGAAGTAACAAAATGTAAACTCAGCAAGAAGCACCAAGCGCATGCAGGCAGCTTTCTGACAAGGTTGAGCATGCTAATAAGCAGATCCATCAGATCTCATGCATTCTCACAATATACTTGAAGTACTTAGTGATAAGTTACGAGCTGCGTATCACAGCTCCACAGAACCACTGAGAATCTCTCTACTGCTGTGTATATGACAATAAAAATCACTTTAAATCACAAAATCCCCTCAAGTTCACTCTATGCAAGATGGCCTATTAACTATGTGCATATCATTGCATTATCACTTCCTCTCTCCACAGATTAATTTTTACATTTTTCAAACAGATCATAAAGAAGTACAAATTAAACTATGACAGTTCATTAAAATAGTAAAGTTTAGCAGAGTTTCTTTCAAAAATAAGATGAAATAGGTATTTATGGTGAAATATTTAATTGAATGAGGAGACAATCTACATGTAATTACTATTTTATATAAAAATATATATTGCCCTAAAAACAGAATTTTGATAGAATATCTTAGTTATCAGTTATTAGGATAGTTATTCAAACTAAAGTCTGCAAAACCAATTGATAGCCTTTCAATAAGATCAAACTATCAAATTCTAGTGAATTTCAGAAGCATGTTTCTCCTTTTATCTTCATTTTGACCAAAGCGGTATAATTTCTGGTTTTCAGGATTCTATTAAAATGTACCCATATTATAGAAGAACCACCTAAAAAAAGAAAATACTTTTTATTGAGTTGGTTTTGCTGAAGGGCACGTTTCTATATTAAAAAATGAGAACAGCAATAGTAGGGTTATGAATTTTCTGCCACCCAGAATTTTAAATTACAGTAATTTGACTGAACCATATTTTTACAAGATTTGTTAAGGATAGGAAATGTTAGATAAACATCAATTACTGAACATTAAGTAAACCACTTTCTTTACTTCACCTAATAAAATAAGGTTTAAAGGTTTACAATAAAATTTCCATATAGTCTCTGAGCTAAAGGGTGTGTACGAAACTCTGGAGAAATACTTCTGGAGAAATAACTCATTTATGGAGCAATTTTAATAACATGCATTCATTCTGAAATATAAAATTCCTGTTGCTCAATACCTATGCAGGTAGGAGGGTCCGGCTGCCAAAAGAATCGGTTATTCAGCTGTACACAGGTGATTTTAGCTTGTCCTTGGAGCTGATACCCAGGGTCACACTGGAAGGTGATGGTATCTCCCGGCTCTCTACTATCCCCGTAGCGGGTGCCGTTCTGAGGCATACCTGGATCGTTGCAGGTGGATGCAATTGATGCTGCAAAGCAAACACAAGAGCAGGTCAAATGATGGGAACAGGGTCCTCATACGTACGAATGTGTAGCAGCTTTTGAGCACGGAAGCTCTCCTGACCGGCATCATGACTCATCTGTCTGCATACAAATGTATGAAAAGTTTCTGTTCCCAGGAATACATTCAATAACATGCATCTTGATTATGATTACTTTGAACAAGTACAAGCAAAATTTGTTGAAAATGCAACCAGTGATGGGATATGTCAAGGAACTGTATCTTGCTCTACTTAACACACACGCACGAGTGCACATTCCCCTCCGATTGTCTTATTGACAATATTTTAATGAAAATTAAAATATTTAAAGTACGCCAATCTCAAAGAACCTTGAGTGAAGCTGAATAGGATAAATTTATGGTCTGTGCCTTCCAGGTGGCATCCAGCTAAGGTGACCAAAGTGACATTGGAATGGGAACCAGCTAGAGAAGGTGCAAGTCAGTTCAAACCAAGATATCATTAGTCTCACAGGTGCTATTTTCTTAGTAAAATTATTAATAACCCCATTTCACTCTCAAAAAACTTCCAATTTGGACAATAAATTATATGGTTATCTTAGTTTTAACAAAAGCTCTGAAAATGATGACTTCTGGGTCAAAAAATAATACAAGTATTAGCACTGTGAATTGTGTAAGACTGTTGAATCACAGACCTGTACCTCTGAAACAAATAATACATTATATGTTAAAAAAAAAAAAGAAGATAGTAGGAAGGGAAAAATGAAGGGGGGGAAATCGGAGGGGCAGACGACTGGACTATGAGACTATGGACTCTGAGAAACAAACTGAGGGTTCTAGAACGGAGGGGGTTGGGGGAATGGGTTAGCCTGGTGATGGGTATTAAAGAGGGCACGTTCTGCGTGGAGCACTGGGTGTTATATGCAAACAATGAATCATGGAACACTGCATCAAAAACTAATGATGTAATGTATGGTGACTAACATAACATAATAAAATAAAAAAAATGCAACAAAAAAATTTCAGGTGGAAAGGGGGAAATGCATTCTCATAAGGCAATAAAGTTGAAATCTTGAAAAAAAAAGTATTAGTAATTTCAAGTCAGTTTAATAGAGGCTAGCATCTCCAAACAAGCTGGTAAGAGAACTTTTGGGGGACAGCTGGAGCACTGGAATGCAAGTGTCTGGCAATCATATGGAGTGCCTATTATAGTAGATGCACCTAAAGTCACGTCATACAGCCAGCTACCAGCCCCACTCGAGTCCAATCAATGTAGATATCTTCCTACCCAGATTCTGGCCCAGAATTCTAACTCCCACATTGCACTGAAATGAAATCACCTGAAAAATACTGGTTATTTTCTCCAATTTCTGTAACTACTATGTACTTGACGTTCTACTAAAAATTAGGAAAACAAACATCAGGGTCCAAAGCTTAAAATATTTTTTTATTCCATTTTCATTTCAACTACAATAATGAGCTCTCTCCCTCTTCACTGCTGAAGGGACTGTGATAGAAAGCTAGCTTTTCTTGTGGCATGCTCCAGGACACTTAACACCTGTTTGCTGAGAAAGACGAAAGAAAACAGCTATTGCCCCATGGCACGCCACCATGCTGTCCACCCTAATGTTTGCAGATGTACGGTCGGTCATGCGTGGGCTTTCATTTCCATATTTTGGGTTTTTTATTTGGTTTGGTTTGGAAAATCCTGGGGTACTGTTCTACATTTGGCTAGATAGAAGAAATTTAAATAAAAGTTACGAGATGCAAAAAAAGTGCAGGACCTACTCTGTGTTCTTTAGAGATTTTTAACTTACGGCTGAATGAATGATCCAGGGCAATAGGAAATGGTTCAACTGTTTAGATGGAAGGAAAGGTATGAACATCAAGAATCCTGAGAGCGGTCAGACTTGCTTCTGATCCCAGCCTTGCTCCCTGGGACTCGATCACTTAAGCTCACGAAACTTCAGGGACTAATCAGGACAGATGAAACTATCTAACTCATTAAATCTGTCGTGAACATGATGTGTGGTATCTTGCAAACCTCTCTCCCCACTGTTCTCTAAGCTAATTGAAGGCTGAGGATGCCTTACCCACTCACTATTTTTTCTCTAACTGGCTTTTATTATATGTTGAAATGTATAACCATGCAGATCTAGAACACCATTAATAACAAAAAGTAAACATCTACATAACAGTCAGATTAAAAATTAGAATATTACCAGGGCGCCTGGGTGGCTCAGTTGCTTAAACATCTGCCTTCGGCTCAGGTCATGATCCTGGAGTCCCAGGATCGAGCCCCGCATTGGGCTCCCTGATCAGCAGGGAGTCTGCTTCTCCCTCTGACCCTTCCCCCTCTCGTGCTCTCTCTCTCCCTCAAATAAATAAATAAAATATTAAAAAAATAGATTACTACCACTCAGCAATATTGATGATACCTACTGATGCCCGCACTTCCTTACCTCACACCTTCCCCCCACTCCAGATGAAATCACTATTTTGAACACAGTTATCATTCCTTTGCTTTTCTTGATAAATATACGCATTCCAATAGTAGCTGCATGGGTAGCCTCCCTTTGAACTCACATAAAATGGAATCACACATTCCAGGTTCTTCTGAGACTGTCTTTTTGGCTTGGTATTATGTTTCTGAGTCATCCACATTTAGGTTTGATGCTCCGGTTTATTGATTTTCATTGCATATGGTTTTCCATTGCATTAATGTACAAGCAAAAGCTTATGCTGGTTCGAGGGGCTTACCATCTTACTCTTTTGCCCTAACCATGAAAAAGCATGTTTGTTGGTCCTGGAAGAATAAGAGGAACAGGAAGCAAAACTTCCAATCAGCCTGTGGATCTAGACTTTGAAGCAAAGCTACTCTGCAGTTGAAAACAGAGTCAATGTGCAGAGACATAGTCTCAAATAGAGCTGCTCCAGCTGACACACACAGGGCTTATGTTTTGGGGTGCTTTGTTACGTAGCAATAGCTGACCGAAACAAGTCCTACGGTGGTAAACTCTTTTGTCCAAAAATATTTCAGTGATTTTAAAATATTTCAAATTTTCCTTCACTCCTAAAGGATGTTTTTACTGAGTTTATAGTTCAGGGTCAATAACTGGTTGGGATTTCTTTCCCCCTCAATACTGTTAAGAAATTATTCTAGTTCTTCTGGCTTCCAGTGTTCTCATGTCACCTCACAGTCTGAAACTATGATGAGATCACACTCTGTTTCTGGTATTCGAACTTTCACAATATTGTGTCTATGCATGATCTTCCTTTTATTAACCCTGCTTGGAATTTATTGGAGTTTTTGAATCTGAGGATTAAGCCATCATCCTATGGAATATCTCTGTTCCCCACTTCTCAAATTAAAATTGGGCAGATATCTCTATCTTCCATGTCTCTTAACGTTCCTCTCATTTTATAATCTTTTTAAACTTTTTTCTCTCTTCCGGGCAATTGTGGGGAATATTTTCCTTCCATCACCCGCTCTTTGTCTGCATCAGATTTATTATCTTAACATGACAGTGAGTTTTAAACTTTCCATCATTGTGCTTTTCGACTAGTCATCACTTGTTTTCAGATATATGTGGCTATTCATACAGTATATTGTTATTTACTCATATTTTCATTTTCTTTTTTTATTATTTATGTGTTTTTACATAATGATTTGACAACTCCACTCACTATACTGTGCTCATCACAAGTGTACCTACCATCTGTCACCATACAACACTATTATAATACCACTAAGTTCGCTATGCTGGAATTTTATCCCCATGTCTTATTCATTCCATAACTGTAAGCCTGTATCTCCCACTCCCCCTCACCCATTTTGTCCATGCCCCCCACTCCCTCCCTTCTGGCAACTATCAATTTCTTCTCTGATTTATGGCTCTTTTTGTTGTTTGTATGTTCTGATTTTTACATTCCACATATAACTGAAATCATATGGTACCTATCTTTGTATGTCTGACCCATTTCACTTGACCTAATACCTTTTAGATCCACCCATGTTGTCACATATGGCAAGATCTCATTCTTTTTTATGGCTGAGTAGTAATATATATATATACCACTTCTTCTTTATCCACTAATGGACACTTGGGTTGCTTCCATATCTTGGATATTGTAAATAACACTGCAATAAGCATAGGAATGCATATATATTTTCAAATTAGTGGATTTTTTGTTTTGTTTTGTTTTCTTTGGGTAAATACCCACTAGTGGAATTACTGGATTGTATGGTATTTCCATTTTTAACTTGTTGAGGAACCTCCAAGTGTTTCCACCCACAATGCCTGTACCACTTACAGTCCCACCAACAATAGACAAGGGTGCTTTTTTCTCCATATGCTTGCCAACACTTGTTATATCTTGTCTTTTTGATTCTAGTCATTCTGACAGGTGTAAGATCATATTTCATTGTGGTTTTGATTTACATTTCCCCGATGATTAGTGATATTGAACATCTTTTCATGTGTCTGTTGGCCATCTGGATGTCTTCTTTGGAAAACTGTCTATTCAGTTCCTCTGCACAGTTTTTAATTGGGTTATTTGTTTTTTCTGGTGTTGAGTTGTATAAGTTCTTTATGTATTTTGGATATTAAACCCTTATAGGATATATCACTTGCAAATATCTCCCTCATTCAGTAGGTTGCCTTCTCATTTGTTGTGTGTGGAAGCTTTTTATTTTGGTGTTGTCTCAATAGTTTCTTTTTGCTTTTGTTTTCCTTGTCTGAGGGGATATATCTAGAAAAATGTTGCAAAGGCCAATGTCCAAGAAATAACTGCCTGTTTTTTTCTAGGGGTTTTATGGTTTCAGGTCTCACATTTAGGTCTCTAAAGTAGTTTGAGTTTATTTTTGTATATGAAGTCAGAAAGTGGTCCAGTTTTATTATTTTGCATGTAGCTGTCCAGTTTTCCCAGCACCATTTATTGAAGAGGCTGTCTTTTCCTCATTGTATATTGTTGCCTCCTTTGTCAAAGATTATTTGAGGGGTGCCTGGG